CTCTATGTACTTTTAAATAATAGAAACATTAGATGGTGATCATACTCTTTGATAAATTTGGTTTTATTTCATTTGTTGACAACTGGCCACAGCAAAAAAATTGCTTAATCGTTGAAATTTCAGCAAAACCATAGTAAGATGGTTGTTGAAAAATGAAATTGATGCTCTAGAAGGCAAAACACTTGCATGTTAGTCTGTCCCCAAGTACAGAAGCCTATCCCCTAAGTTACTCATAAATATGAGGATATTAAACAGATAATGGTTTAAAATACATTATTTATTATCTTTAGTTTCTTTATTTCTTTTTGCTATTAACAATTTTAAAATATAAAATACATTTATAAAAAGTAATTCACTTTTTAATGTTCACTTGAGGTAGTAAATACTGCACCACAAATTGATTCCCAGGAGAGTAAAAATACAGTCCCCCAACTGTAGAAACATTTGTGTTAGCAGTGCATAATTGAACAGACTTTTCATAATCCAGAGGGTATAAAACTAATTGAAGAGTATAAATTGTTGGGTAAATAATTTTTCATTTTCACAGTTTGCCAATTTAATTTAATAGGTATTTAACATTTTTGCTGATTTGCAAAAACTTAAATAATTTAGTGCATATTCTTTTAACTAATTAACTAGGTTGGTAATGTTGTTTTGAATCCCTGGAGTTTTGGAAAACTTTTATGTTTGAAAACTATTAATTTATACTGTAGCACTTATATAAACTCAGTAATAATGTAAAATAAATAAGTACAACATTTAATTATTAATTAAAAAAATATTTTCACCTGAGTAAAATAATAAAATATTATATATAAAAATAATTTTATAATTATAATATAAAAATGTTTAAATATKCTTGAAAGTACTTCATACTAAGAAATATAGCATTTAATATTTAAATCTATATGTGTGTTATTCAACAAACATTTTTAACTTTTGTAAATTGCTTTGTACTATTTGAATTATATATTAATTCAATATAATATGTAATTTAATTATTGTATGTTTAAGGAATCTTTTTTTTTCATTGTATTTAAAATATGATATTATCTGATATTTATTTTTGAATACTGATAGAATATAATTTTACTACTGTAATTAATTTAAGGTTAAAGAAATACTCATGGGAAAACAAGATAAACAAGGGTACATAACGAGGTAGTAAATATTGCCAGAACGAGAAACAGATATGAGTGGTATTAAAATCAAACGGACCGGAAAAGCTGCTAGAGAGAGCGCCTCTCGTCAACCAATAGGGGCCACAGCTTTACACAGATGAATATTTTACAACAATCATTATTTCAGTTTCATTACGATACTACCAACAATCATGTACAGTTATATGGCACCTGATATAACCATCTATGTGATGTCTTTAAATAACAGATTTCGTGCTTTTATATCTCATAGAGAACTTCTTGCACAGTATAGTGGTTATTTTAAAGCATTAAAAAATTGTAAAACAAATAAAGTTTTTCTTMCTAACATTACGGATGAAACTTTTTCAATAATATTATCATACATTTATACAGGAGTACTTAAAATAAATAATGAAAACATACATTCTGTCCTTTTAGCTACACACACTCTTCACATCCCACAAGCATCAGATATGTGTAGACAATTTTTAATAACTCAAGACCAAAATATAATAAAACCCATTGCAAAACTACCATCATTCATAGATACATCAATAATACAGCAGCCAAATGAAAATAGGACATTAAAAATATCAGAAGAATCAAATTTCAAACCGCCAATTCGCAAAGAAAATATAATTTTTGACATAGCAAGTTGTGATGGTCCAGTTCAGTTTTATAGAGTGATTAATGAAAACTACAAAGGCAATGAAAAGAGATCAACACTAAAACAGTCATATAACTGTGAATATTGCAATCATCCATTTAAAAGTAAGTACTGTTATGAAAAACATATAAATAGACACTTAAATATAAATATGATTGATAAAAAAAATAATTCTTCAATTCAATATTACCCATGCAGACAATGTGGATCAAAATTTCCAAGTTATTATTTTGTTCATAAACATAAAAAATTTTGTAAAATAAATAACTTGTAAATTTGTTTTCAATAAAAAAAAACTACTTAAAATAATTAAAAATAAATATTTATTCAAATTCACTTAAAATCAAAAAACATGACTTACGTTGAGAATCCATTAATTCTTCATCAGTCGTACTTGTATTTTCTCCTTTTAATTTATCATCTTTTCGCCTTTCTTTCTTTTTGGATTCAGGTTTTAATTCACTAAAAATGATTCATATCATTGTTGTGTATTAATTAAGTATTTAAGCAAAAGAATATAATAATTAATTAAATAAGATAAATTTAATTGTAGGGTAGTACACAAAAACTAAGTAGTATGATTAAAATTAAATGAATATTTTTTTTTTATTATTATTCTAATATCACTTAAATAAATTATTTGTGGAATTCATTAATTAATGTTTTGTTAATTTAAACACAAATGTATTAGATTCTGAACGAAGTGATGAATGTATTTTATATTTTATGTTTATATAGATTTAATTAATGTATTCAAAATGATTAACTATGAATTATAATAGTCAACAATGTAAGTAGAAATTAATATGTAATCATAATTGATAAGCTTGTTGAATTAAATTAATGTACTGTTAATATTGTAGTAACAAATCAAAATACAATAAACTATTATCATGAAAAAATAAATAAATAAATACTTCAGATACTACTCATGGATTATTTCAAACCAAATAATGTTTTTTTTTTTATTAGTTATTATATAAATTGTATTATTATACCAACAAATCTTTGATACAAAGCAATCAACCAAAATACCAGAATAAATAACAGGAAATTTGAGGTGACCATTAAGAAGTTCTACTGGATATAATAGTTCATCCATAATTTAATAATTAAAATTAAAATATTGAATAATCTTATCAAGTAATATTGGTCATTTTTTAACATAACATTAATTGTATTTACCTTGTGTGTGACGTTGTAACTGATGTCTGTATCAAATTTTTAACAGATTCATTATTTTGATTTTTATTTGTTAGTGAAGTTTCGATTTCATTATTAGCACCTTGTTCAATAGCAACTTCTACTTCTACAGATGCAGGAGTCTCTTCATTTTCAGCTATTGTATTTTGAGCTGCAGAAATTTGTGCTAAATTTGATGATGCTGCTTCACTGCCCTGGCGCTCTCGTTGGAGTCTAGTTGTAACACCAATAGAAGTTGAATTTAAAATGTCTAACGAATTCAATGAACTATTAGCGGGTGTCCGATTTTGAGCAGTACGGCGTCTTGCTTGCCATTTAGCTTTGCCTACAAAATTAAATAATTTTAAAAAGGTTTAATGTAAGTTGTACCTGGTTTAATGTCAATGCTTACGTARTAATCTTTTGTACTCCTCTTTGGGTTTGCTTAAATAATAATATTGTACGCAGTCAGAAGGACATTTTTTATCCAGAAAAGATGCTATTGCACCAAAAGTTTTTGGATGAGCAATAAAGCGATCTTTAAACACTTCTTTTTCTTGCTGTGTCCAAATATTGACATATTTTCTCTCATTATACTCTGTTTTATAATCCAACACAAGTCCATTGTTGTTTAAGTAAGTTAAATGTCGTTCATGAGGGTCTAACATTAGTGGTGGTATAACAGCGTAAGACCTCATTTTTTTGTCTTCCATCTAAATGAAATTATTTAATTTAATTATTTAGAACTTACAGTACTTTATGGTCATAAAATATCACAACTCTTTGATAATGTAATGGACTGTAGTAAGTAATAATTATTCAGTAATCATAATTAGTAATTACTATACTTGAAAACTGTATAGTATTACAATGTAACATGACAATTGACAATCCTAATTACCAGACATGGATTTATAAATATAATTAGTTTAAATTAATTTTTTAATGTAACTATTAAATATGAATGTAACACAATATAATATAATATCAATAGTAAGTACAATAAAATCGTACTTGTAACAAACTAAAATAAATTTAACTAGTATAAAATCAAATATTTTTGGTGAGCTGTTTTAGTGTAGTCACACTAACCAAATTTAGATAATCAATGAATCATAAATAAACATGATAATTTAAAAAAACTGAATTAATTAGTAAAAATGTAAATTTACTTTACTACTAACTAATAAAAATTATTTTGCTTTTATAGAATTTACCTCTTGTTCTTGTAAACCGTCCATGATCTCTTCTAAATCTGCTTCACTTTTAATACGAGCACCAACTCTATTAAATCTTTCTTTATCTTCACGTGCTTTTCTTAACTCTGGGAATACTTTCTCAAATAGTTCTCTATGTTTTGCTTCTTTGGCTTTTCTTTTTTGTGAGCTTTCAATTTTTTCAACTCTACGTATCCATTCCTTATACAGTTTAGAATAAGTTTCAGTAATTTCAGTTTTCTTYTGTAGTTGCTCCATTTTCTTTTTCCTTAGATGTTCCAATAAAGTGGATTTAAATAATGAATACCTAAAAATAAAATTATTATTATAATGCAATAAATATAAACTCAGGCAAATTATTATTTTGCATAAGCACATAGCAACTTCTTTTCAATAATTCTTTACTAGAGAAGTTAAACAGGGTATTTAGACACTTTTTATAAAAGTTAAGTGAGAGGGCACCCACGTGTTTCATCTCTGTCTTACAAATGAATCTATTTCACTCCATTATTTATAATATTAAGTGTAGTAACTTAACATTTAATTGAAATTAAAGTATACTATATACAGGGTATCCTATGAGGATATACCCATTAGCTGTAGGGGGACTCGCTGCCCGGATAAAAACCAATTTTTTGCCGTTTTGTCTATAAGCTAAAAAAATTATTAAAAATCATAATATTAATAAAAATAACTTTATAAAATAGGTATCTTTATATTTTTATAAAAATTGAATTTAAAAAAAATTAAATACATGTAGCCCTTGTCTATATGAGTCTAATAAAAAAAAAAGATTTATGATATATGTATTATCTCAGGAGATATTGCAATGGGTAAATCCTCGGGGACACCCTGCAGAACCCCCCCCCCTCCCCACAAGCATTATACATTTTATTTTGAAGTAATGAAAATATAAAAATGTATAAAAATAAAAATTTAATATGATCATAATTTCCTTCAAAATTAAAATACCATAAAAATCCTATTTACCTTTAAATTATATACAAAGTCAAGTCATTCTGATTTAAAAAATAAATTGAGTAAAATGGATTCTTTCCAAAGTTAAATTTGTTATGTTATGCATTAGTCTAACAATACATGCGGGCACTACAACATGTTAAGAGAACTTTCAACCTTTGTAACCTAAAAATAGCTAACTTATAGAGAATAACAATTGAGTATATACAATTTTTTTTTCTTTAATTTTATACAAAATCATTTAAAATTTGCATCTAGTGAAATCAATTAAAATTGATCAACTTTAATATGGTAGATCGACATGTAATCAAACTTATAGAAATGAATGTTAGCTGTGTAAAATGGTAGTTTTTAGTAAAATATTTATTATTAAAAAAGTTGTAAAATTGCATTGAAGATTAATACTACGATATTAATAAACACAAATAATAGATAATAGTTAACAAATTATAAAACATTAAATTCACTTAATGTTATGAGGATACTATACCTAACTCAAAAAWAATGATTTTTTAAAACTTGATTAACTTTTTTTGAATTTGTGATCATAAACAATAAAAACAAATTTTTCAGAGCCAGAAGTTTCATTTTAAAGTGGTAAAAATTTTGCTTCATAGTTATGAATGTAGCCTTCCAAGAACTTTCTCTAGCAAAACAGTTTTTACTTTGTTAGACATTTGTAAAACAAGAATAACACACAGGTATGGAATCAGCATCCTCTTAAAGGAAACACAAAATAAGTCACAGTATAAAATTTGTGAAGTGGTACACCATAATAAATGCTGGTGTAACATCTAAACATAATGATTTTTTAAGCATGTCCAGTGCACACCTTATGTTTATACTTAATTTGTGCATTTATTCAAATTCTGATTAATAGAATTTTTAAATACACTTTAAGACCATATTTTTAAATCCTTGAAATTCTTTTAATTACTTAAAAATCAAAATAATACAAACTGTCATCTTACAAATAGAAACACCCCCACCCTTTGAATTTTGAACTAACTTATTGTTTTGTTCAGAATTTTTATGTATCTAAATCAGAACTCAAGTAAGTAAATTTGAATACCATAATTAAGTAGATAATATGTGGGCTTAGATAATTTGAATTAATTAGTAATAACTATTGGTTTGTAGCATAAATAATTTTTAAAAATAATCTTATTATAATATATATATTACATTTAATATTAAATATAGATTTAATTTTATAAAATCATATTTAAGGACTATTATCCTTAAAATAAACATTTTAATAACCCAGAAACTACTCATTATAATTTTCAATTAGATGCATACATTTTTTTAATAATAACATCTGTTAAATCATTTTCAGAATAAAAGGAATGGTTCTTAATTAAAAAATATTAATTTATACTACACTTTTTAAGGAGAACCAATTAACAGAACTTTGAAATTATGGTCAAGGTATATTTAACAATTCTAAAATTCAGGATTTGAATAAATTTACTACTTATGGAAAAAATTGGGTTTAATTATGCATAAAAAATTATTCTGTTTGCAAGCAAATTAAAAAAAAGTTGTATTCATAAATTATATTCTGTGCATTTTTTAAGACAACAAAATATCATTGTAACATTACATAGGTACATCATTTTTTTTAAAGAATTATCATGATTTCAAATTAATATTATCAATTAATTGTGTAACTATAATATTGAAAAATATTCTTACTTTCTTCTATTCTCATGATAAATATCAGCATCTGATGGTTGATTATACAAAGGCTACAAAACAAATAATAAAATAAACTTTAAAAACAAGAAAAATTAACATATTTATTTTGAGACAACCACATTATAACTTGTTTATTTAAAGTGTAGTATATAGAAAAATCAGAAATAATAAATTATAAATTTATAACATGTATATAAAAACATAAAAATAAATTTAAAGAGAGTAAAATTGGTATACACTTTAAAAGTAAATTCTCTATTGATAAAAACTATTACAACAAAACAAAAATATACTTACAAGATCAGTTTTATTGGCAAATTTTTCTAGGCTCATTCTTGATTCTAATGCTTTTTTCTAAAATTTAATTTTAATTAATTAATCATTAAAAAAAATATTAATATTAATAACAATAATAATAAATAGATAAAGCATATTATTTTAGTTTAAGAATAATAAACTATTTTTGGAAGATTATTTCTACATAAATGCAGAAGTTCCAATAAGTTCTGAACCATGCAGGCTATTATAAAACAATATTTACTCTGTTTGATGCATAAATTCGTTGAACTGGAGTCAAAAAGTTTATTTGGTCTTCTTCTTCACATTCTTTTAATGTATCTTCTTCGGGTTCTATTTTAGTAACTTCTGAATTCAATTCTTTTTGTTCATAATTTTCCTAATAATAAAAAAAAACCCCCATATTAGACAAATAAATGTTTGTTAAAAATGTTCTATACTTTTACTTTTAACTTGATCAAGTCTTCTATTTCTTGATTAATACTATTTATATCACTCTCAAGTTTATTTAATTTTGGAGTAATATCATTAACTTTAGTAACTTTATATTCTGGCATTGGTTCATCAATAGTAGGTGAAATAGCTTCTACTTGAGGATTGTATGCACTTGTAGAAGGAGGATCCTGTGAGCAGTTTAAAATATATTATTATGATTTAATAATATGAAAATTTACTAATTATAATACTGAATGATAGCTTAAATTAACTTATTTATAAATTTAAATCTTGAACGACATCACATTATACATATGTTCAAAATAGATATAAAGAAAAATGTATACATACGGATATATCAATTTTTAGAGGCGGTTGAGGCGAAATAGGATGAAGTAATTTTGGTTTTTTCATAGGAGGTGGGGGACCATGATCTGGTCTTTCTCTCATAAAGTTCATAGAAACTGTATTGTGAGAGTTATGATTCAATGATTCATCTCGATAATGTTCCATTCTAAATAGTTTAAAATTAATTTATGAGACATAATATATAATTATATAAGTAAGAAAATTATTACACAATACCGTGTGTTCACCAATTTAGGGAGCACTTAATTTATCAGCCTGGATTATGTTAGAATAAATCAAATTTTTTTTCACAAGCTAGTGGTGTATAAATACACATTTTCAGATAAATTTCAAACTTTTAACCCTCTCAGTACTCGCATGCCGCAATGCAAATTATTATTTTTTTTAATAACAACCGGTATTTTTGATATGAAATTCGAATAGACTGATTTTCATAAAATTATTTTGACCAACTAATCATTGCTCTAAAACCAAAATTGACTGAATGAGAGCCATTCAAATTTTAATAAATAATACATTAATAATCATACAAGTCATTATAAAATGCATAAAACCATTTATTTATTATTGGTTACTTTTTGAATATTTTTACCTATTTATTTTTTATTT